CAGCCTTCTCTTCTTCAGGCTGAACAAGCCCAGCTCCCTCAGCCTCTCCTCGTAGGGGAGATGCTCCAGTCCCCTCCTCATCCTCGTAGCCCTCCGCTGGACTCTCTCCAGTAGCTTCTCATCTTTCCTGAACTGGGGAGCCCAGAACTGGACACAGTACTCCAGATGAGGCCTCACCAGGGCAGTGTAGAGGGGAAGGAGAACCTCCCTCGCCCTGCTGGCCACACTCTTCTTGATGCACCCCAGGATCCCATTGGCTTTCTTGGCAGCCAGGGCACACTGCTGGCTCATGGTTAACCTGTTGTCCACCAGGACACCCAGGTCCCTCTCCACAGAGCTGCAAACAATGGCAGACTGCCTCTTGTTCTTCCACTGCACACCCCAAGAACAATCTGCCTTCACCTTCTCTACCCCCTCCCGATAAGTAGTTGCAGGCCGGCAGTAAGATCACGACTTAGGGCTGAAGATACCTGGTCTCCTCAGCCTCTCCTCCCCCGTGGTACCCCGCAGCTCCCCACTCCGACAGCTCTGCTGGATACGCTCCAGCGCGTCGATGCCTTCCTCACACTGCACCTTCCTTTCTGCTGCAAGGACACACTGCCTGACTCATGTCCAGCTTCTCCTCTGCTGCAAAGCTGCTTTCCAGTGGCCTCACCCCATCCCAGGTGCAGGACTCCGCATTTGCCTTTTTGCCTTTGCTGAGCTCTCGTCACTCCATCTTCCCAACGTGCCAAAGCGGCTCTGAATGGCAGCCGTGCCCTCCGCCACACCGGGAGAGGGACACAGGAACAGCTGGGAAAGGTGGATGCCCTCAATTTCCACAGCTGGCTGCAAAACAACAACCTGGCCATAACTGTTTTATCAGTATTGAGCGTGTCACATCAAGCAGTTCTGGATTCTGCTATGCCCGTTCTGTGCTCGAGGCCACACAGGAAGGGCTTAACTTGCCAGCTTACATACCACAGAAACTTAGAAAAAAAAGTATTTCTATGTTTTAAAAAATACTAGCCTCTGGAGATGGTTGTCCCTTGCTCCATCATGCTGGTTCTCAGCCACTCGTGTATTTAAATCCAAATAAAACCGCTTCGCCACCAAGAAACACGCCTGCTGCTGGCGCGGAGCGGAGACACGTGTCAGCTCCTCCACTACGGAACAATTTCCTCCCACATGCGCACCGGCTGTCGACAGGAGCCTTGGCTTTAGCTACGGAAGCTACCTGAGAAGTTGGGAAGGAGGAAAGTTCATCTGAACAACGGCAATTTGTACACAGCTTCCAGTGGGCTCGGGGTTACACGAGGCCTCGGAGGATGGCGCAAGGCAGGACAGGGTGCCTGATGGCAGCTAACAGGAAGGTTTGCTGAGAATTCAGTATTTGTTTTCTCTGTTGTTAAAAAAAAAGGTTAATTTTCTGTAGAGGGGAAGAAGCGAACCACTCCCATCCTGAAGTACAAGTCACCTCCCAAAATACTGGACACAGCAAATCCTAGCTCCTTAAAGGCACTTCTGAATGACCGAGGGGTTTTGCTTTGTGCAGTCTTATTTTTCACGTTAGGATTTTCAAACTTGTCCAAAAAATTTGCAAGTACGTGCAAACGCAATGGAGGAAATAGTAAACGGCGTTTCTTGGAAGACTTGAGGGCAAAAACAAAATTTTTTGGAGGAAAAACATAATCTAGAGATGTCTGTGTGCTGCTGAGGACCATATCCTCCTGCAGCCGTCGGTGAAGCAAGGTGACCAAGACTCCCATGGCCCACCGTCCTCTTCAGACCTGTTGATATCTGAAACAACTTCAGCAACCTGATTAAACCATGAATATGGAACAGAATTTATGCTGCAGGAAAAGACCTACATGCTCCCTGCAATCCATATTTTTAAACCATCCCTACATCAGGCAAGGAAGAGGAAGGCGGCACCTGACACTGCCGCTATTCAAACCGTTTGCCTCTTGCTCGCGTGGTACAAAACAGCGTCAGAATTTCTCGATCCAGCCTGACGCTTTCTGCAGGTCACACTGCTGGGCTCCATCAGCTTCCTCTACACTTCCACGCTGCTCAGTCAATAAAAGCCATGTTGCCAAGTAACACATAATTCTT